CTGGGTCATATGGTAGTTCTATTTGTAATTTTTTAAGGAACCTCCATACTGTTCTCCATAGTGGCTGTACCAATTCACATTCCCGCCAGCAGTGCAGGAGTGTTCCCTTCATGATTTATTTTAAACTTACAAATGTAGGAAGTATGAACACATCTTTAAATAATTCAAAAGAAAACACTATCCATTAAGCAATTACCAGTGCTTTTGAACTAAGAGGCATTATGGTGTAGAGGAAAGAAAATAGGTTTGGAAAGACCCAGATACAATGGGAGTAAACCCCAGCTTTACCACTCACTAGATGTGTATCCGTGGGTAAAATGTTACTTTACTCTTTTTGAATTTGTGTTTTCATTGGTAAAGTTGCGATGATTTAGCTTTACATGATTATTCGGAGGATTAAAATATGTATATAAAATGCTAAACCAAGTGCAAATGTAATTTTACAAGTAACGCTTTCTGTTGTTATTATAGTTAAATATCTAAGTGGATTACATTATAATCTCATTATGTTGTATAGTTAGGTAATACATATTCCAGAATGTCATGTAAGTGGAATCATACAGTGTGTAGCCTTTTAGGTCTAGCTTTGTTAAGTTAGCAACATGCATTTGAGATCATCCATGTTGCTGCATGTATCAATAGTTGTTCCTTTTGTTAAGTAATAATACCATTGTGTGGATATACCAGTTTCTTTATCCGTTCATCAGTTGAAGGACATGTGAGTTGTTTCCTTTTTTTATGATTATGAATAAGGCTGCTATAAACATTTGCTTACAATTGTGTGTGTACATACGTTTTCATTTCTCTTGGGTAAGTACTACTAAGAATGAGATTGGTGATTTATATACGGTAGGGGTATGTTTAGCTTTGTAAAAAATTTTCAAACTATTTTTCAAAGTGCCTGTACCAGTTTGCATTCCTACCGACATTGGTGACCAGTTGGTCTGCATCCTCAGTATTAAGAATTTTAGTATTTTAGGCATTCTAAACAGATGTGTAGTGGTTATCTCATTATGGTTTTCATTTGCATTTCCCTGATGACTAATGATGTTGAGCATCTTTTTGTGTGCTTATTTGTCATCATTTCATTTGACTTTAGTATTTAACTTAATATATTAGATATCTTTCCAGATAGTGTTGTGACTTGTTATTTATTTTCTTTCTTCTTCCCTTCCTCTCTTTATTATAACCTTTCGTTTGGCAAAATGTATTGCATATACACAAAGGTGCACAGAACCAAACCATATAGCTTAGTGAATTATCACAAAGTGAGCATCTGTGTAACTATCACACAGATAAAAGAAAAAAGTATTCACAGTACTTTAGAAGTCCTCCTCATGACTTCTCACATCTGGCTAGCACCCCATTCCTTTTCCCAGAAACAGTCACTCTTCTGTATTTTATGGCATTCCCTTTCTTGCTCTTTTAAATAGCTTTAACATCTAAGCATGTATGCCTTAACCTGATTAATGTTTTGCTTGTCCAACTTATATTTGTAAGATTCATCTATGTTTTTATATATAGCTGTAGGTTTTTTTCATTTTCATTGCTGTATAATGTTCCATTAGAGGAATATACTACTATTTATCCATTCTACTGTTGATAGATGTTTGGATTTTTTTGAGTTTTGGTAT